TTTTTTTTTTTCGATCGTTAGGCATCGCTAGATTCCACACGCTCTCATACGATAGCACTGATTTCGCAATGCCCCGCGCGATGCGACTCATTCGCTACTCCGAGGAAATGCGAAAGGTCAACGATGCTTTGCGGCAAATATCTTGAATATTCATATCGAATGTCTAGTATATCCGGAACCTTTTTCTCGCGGAATATTTTTCCGAGAGAATCAATTCTCCAAGCAGAAAATTTCAAGTTGCAGAAGCTCGTCGATGCTGCGTGTCAATTTGATTCGCTGCATGTCAAAAGTCACATGCTAAATCACCAAATTTCGCAACGTTTGATATGTTCCGCGTATCTCGATGTCCAGCAAGCGTAAGAAGTAACCGGGATCGATTTTGGGCAGTTTATTTAATCAAGGGGGCAGGGAGGCCAGGAGAAGTTGCTTCGTTCGACCGGATTAAACAAGGGCGGTTTTAATGGGCGGCTAACGAAACGCGTGTTGTTTCCCTTCATTGGTTTAAGCGTCGGGCGACATACAAGCGAAGCACCGTTAATCCACGAGTGACGTTTACTCTCGAGGATGACGGAGTCGCGAAAGCCCAGGACGCTCGAATATCAGACCCGCCAGACGTTTAAAGCTTTTGTCCGTAAACATTTCGGCCGATATACAGAACTCGGATCACCTCAGCTTCGCTACACACACAGGATATATCGGTCGCCCGGTCATAATTCACGTCTAAGACCATTCGAGCTAAAATAGCCGAAGCCAGCTGGCACTCTGGAAGATAACGTTCGATGGTCTTGAACCTCCTCGGCGCGGTGCCGCCGGTGCCGCTGCTGCTCGTGATTTTACACCACGTTTGATCCGTGTTATCCCAATCGTCGCTTTTAATGGACTCTAGAAGAAGCGGTAAAACGTACAGCTTTTGCAGCCGCTCGTACGCGGCTTCGCGCTGGCAAACGCGCTATGGAAGGTTTCGGACGACAATAAAGCAGCCTGTGTCTAAATTTCTCCGTACTATTATTCCTTATTGTCTGTTGTCATCAATAGATAGTAATTTCGAGATCCAATTACCAGTTGCAATTATCTTCTTACTTTCTTCTCCGTTGTTACTGACGGATGGTAAAGTGTTTTTTGCGGCGAACTACGATACGAATCGTACTTCTCGAAATCGTCGGGAGAAAGAACTGTCTTTCATCGTTCCTTCGTAATCTCGGAGTTTCATAGGTCAGAATCATTGGGTTCATCGTTGTACTGCCGTAGCGCGTATCGAGATGAATTCAATGACTTGTCGCTCGAGGACATTCAAGGCCAGACAAGGTCACTTGGGAACATTTGATCATATCGAGTGAGTCAACGAAAGTGCTCAAATGGGTGGCCTTGAGTACAAATATGTAACCTGTCACGATCTCCGAAGAATCTCCCTATCCGAGTCAGCGTGGCAGAAAGATAATGTCACAAGAATATCTCGCCTCCCTCTACGCGCGATTTCCCAATTTGATGGGTACTGCAAACATAGATGAAAGTTAATTCACCCGCATAACTCACGAACAATTATTTCTACATATGCGTTACAATGTTTTTTTCTTTTTACCGTTACATTATATTCGCTCGTGAGATTCATGATAATCCCGCATAAAAGAATCCTTAACCACGATTATTATCTGCAATTTGTTTCTTTAGCGCCGTGTCTTCAATTGAGATAATTATTAGATCTGTGCTTAGCTGAACTAGTTTGCACTTTCTGCCGTTAAGGTGATACAAGTATGTAACTCGACGATGAGAGAAAAGGTACGAAGTTAAGCATT